TCTTCTCTGCTCTTTCCTGCAGAAGCACGTTCTGGCCTTCAGTAACGATTTTAACACGTTGCAAAAGGTGAGCAGCTCTGAAAAACTGCTTTGGAGAGAGTTTAACCAAATTTCTATTAGTACCTTAAGGATAAGCTTACTGTTATGACATTGTTTTGAGCACTTGCGATACACTGTAGAGACATTCATTCTCTACAGTGCTATTCAAATCCCATGAAACAACAGGCTTTTCTCTTAAAATTGTATTATAAATAGAAGACAATGAGATAATATGAAATTGTGCATCTGTAATATGAGTTAAGTGGTAATTTACATGATGGAGTGCTTTTATAGACAAAAATTAACACTTATTGTATGTCTTTACTCAGTTTGCCAATATGTAGCCTGCTTTGAGAACCTGTTGACACAAGACACTGTTCCCTCCGCTATTTCCAACTGCTGAATTGCATTTAAGTTTCTTGGTGCTGTTTTCCCCTATGATGCTGTATTTGATCACTGGTGAGAGGGGAAGATCATCCATGTAATATAGTAGGACAGCTGTCCACAGAACAATCTCTCATTTTTGTTATGCCTGTGTTTAAGGAATCCTTTGCTAACACATCAGCTATTCAGTATGTTTAAATGCCATACTTCCTCCCCCTTTGAATATGTCACAGTATAATTTGCATTTTTGCAGTATCATGTATTTTGCATTTTAATGATGTTTCTAAACCTGTTTTTACTGAAGATTATGTAATGCTATAAACAGAGGAAGCTGGAAGTGCAATGTAACTAAACATATCCTAAAATATCAGTGGGCACTAAAATTAAGCTGACAAAGATGGCGGGCTGTAGTAAAGTAAATAATGAAACAAATGCACAGACCCCTTATCTTTTATAATCAGACCTGACTATTAAAATCACTGGGATTTAAATCAAAAGTCTGCGATACTGGATGCAGCAGGTGCAGTTCTTAATAATAAGTTTGGTAGGCGCAACTGTGTACCACGAACACACTCTGCAGTGATCCTCAAGATCTTCCTCAGTTAGAAGATGAGCAAGTCCTTCCCGAAGTGGCTGAACCAAAAGCCAACTTCTCCAATAGGAATTGGAAAAATTAAAGTCTTTGCAAGTCTTTGCTGCCTCCTCTCAAAGATTTGCTGGACCCATTTCTGACTAGAGGAAGGCTGTGTGTGGAGTGCAGCACAGCAGTTTTGCCCCCAGTAATGAGTGCCTGCTGCAGAAAGTGTTTATTCGTGACGTATTCACCATCCTGTTGAAGAAGCTTTTCATTGCTAAACTGAGTGTACTTTTTATTTGCCCTTTGTGGTTTTGTTGCCCTGATTTCAA